ATGTTGGTTCAGTGGTTGTTGTTGATTCAGATGTAGTTGTCTGAGCAGGTGTTGTTGATTGAGGTGCAGATGTTGGTGTTGTTGATTCAGATATTGATTCAGTGGTTGGTGAGTGAGATGTAGATGTTGTAGCTGATTTAGGTTTTGGTGCAGGTGTTGTTGCTGATAAAGCTGTAGATGTTGATAAAGATGTTGGTGCAGGTATTATTGTTGATTCAGATGTAGATGTTTGAGCAGGTGTTGTTAATTGAGGTGTAGATGGTGGTGCAGGGGTTGTTGTTGTTGATGGAACTGTAGATGTTTCTGTAGTTGATGTAGATGTTGGTTCAGTAGTTGTTGTTGATTCAGATGTTGATTCGATTGTTGGTGAGTGAGATGTAGATGTTGTTTTAGCTGATGTAGATGTTAGTGCAGGGGTTGTTGTTGTTGATGGAACTGTAGATGTTTCTGTAGTTGATGTAGATGTTGGTTCAGTAGTTGTTGTTGATTCAGATGTAGATGTTTGAGTAGGTGTTGTTGATTGAGGGGTAGATGTTGTTGATTCAGATGTTGATTCAGTGGTTGGTGAGTGAGATGTAGATGTTGTTTTAGCTGATGTAGATGTTGGTGCAGGGGTTGTTTTTGTTGTTGATGGAACTCTAGATGTTTCTGTAGTCGATGTAGATGTTGGTGCAGCGATTATTGTTGATTCAGATGTAGAAGCTTGAGCAGGTGTTGTTGATTGAGTTGTAGAAGTTGGTGTTTTTGATTCAGATGTTGATTCAGTGGTTGGTGAGTGAGATGATGTTGTTGTTTCAGATGTAAATGTTTCTGTGGTCAATTTTGATGTTGGTTCAGCGGTTGTTGTTGATTCAGATGTAGATGTTTGAGCAGGTGTTCTTGATTGAGATGTAGATGGTGGTGTTGTTAATTCAAATGTTGATTCAGTGGTTGGTGAGTGAGATGTAGATGTTGTTGTAACTGATGTAGATGTTGGTGCAGGGGTTGTTGTTGTTGATGGAACTCTAGATGTTTCTGTAGTTGATGTAGATGTTGGTTCAGTGGTTGTTGTTGATTCAGATGTTGATTCAGTGGTTGGTGAGTGAGATGTAGATGTTGTTGTAGCTGATGTAGATGTTGGTGCAGGGGTTGTTGTTGTTGATGGAACTCTAGATGTTTCTGTAGTTGATGTAGATGTTGGTTCAGTGGTTGTTGTTGATTCAGATGTTGATTCAGTGGTTGGTGAGTGAGATGTAGATGTTGTTGTAGCTGATGTAGATGTTGGTGCAGGGGTTGTTGTTGTTGATGGAACTCTAGATGTTTCTGTAGTTGATGTAGATGTTGGTTCAGTGGTTGTTGTTGATTCAGATGTTGATTCAGTGGTTGGTGAGTGAGATGTAGATGTTGTTGTAGCTGATGTAGATGTTGGTGCAGGGGTTGTTGTTGTTGATGGAACTCTAGATGTTTCTGTAGTTGATGTAGATGTTGGTTCAGTGGTTGTTGTTGATTCAGATGTTGATTCAGTGGTTGGTGAGTGAGATGTAGATGTTGTTGTAGCTGATGTAGATGTTGGTGCAGGGGTTGTTGTTGTTGATGGAACTCTAGATGTTTCTGTAGTTGATGTAGATGTTGGTTCAGTGGTTGTTGTTGATTCAGATGTTGATTCAGTGGTTGGTGAGTGAGATGTAGATGTTGTTGTAGCTGATGTAGATGTTGGTGCAGGGGTTGTTGTTGTTGATGGAACTCTAGATGTTTCTGTAGTTGATGTAGATGTTGGTTCAGTGGTTGTTGTTGATTCAGATGTTGATTCAGTGGTTGGTGAGTGAGATGTAGATGTTGTTGTAGCTGATGTAGATGTTGGTGCAGGGGTTGTTGTTGTTGATGGAACTCTAGATGTTTCTGTAGTTGATGTAGATGTTGGTTCAGTGGTTGTTGTTGATTCAGATGTTGATTCAGTGGTTGGTGAGTGAGATGTAGATGTTGTTGTAGCTGATGTAGATGTTGGTGCAGGGGTTGTTGTTGTTGATGGAACTCTAGATGTTTCTGTAGTTGATGTAGATGTTGGTTCAGTGGTTGTTGTTGATTCAGATGTTGATTCAGTGGTTGGTGAGTGAGATGTAGATGTTGTTGTAGCTGATGTAGATGTTGGTGCAGGGGTTGTTGTTGTTGATGGAACTCTAGATGTTTCTGTAGTTGATGTAGATGTTGGTTCAGTGGTTGTTGTTGATTCAGATGTTGATTCAGTGGTTGGTGAGTGAGATGTAGATGTTGTTGTAGCTGATGTAGATGTTGGTGCAGGGGTTGTTGTTGTTGATGGAACTCTAGATGTTTCTGTAGTTGATGTAGATGTTGGTTCAGTGGTTGTTGTTGATTCAGATGTTGATTCAGTGGTTGGTGAGTGAGATGTAGATGTTGTTGTAGCTGATGTAGATGTTGGTGCAGGGGTTGTTGTTGTTGATGGAACTCTAGATGTTTCTGTAGTTGATGTAGATGTTGGTTCAGTGGTTGTTGTTGATTCAGATGTTGATTCAGTGGTTGGTGAGTGAGATGTAGATGTTGTTGTAGCTGATGTAGATGTTGGTGCAGGGGTTGTTGTTGTTGATGGAACTCTAGATGTTTCTGTAGTTGATGTAGATGTTGGTTCAGTGGTTGTTGTTGATTCAGATGTTGATTCAGTGGTTGGTGAGTGAGATGTAGATGTTGTTGTAGCTGATGTAGATGTTGGTGCAGGGGTTGTTGTTGTTGATGGAACTCTAGATGTTTCTGTAGTTGATGTAGATGTTGGTTCAGTGGTTGTTGTTGATTCAGATGTTGATTCAGTGGTTGGTGAGTGAGATGTAGATGTTGTTGTAGCTGATGTAGATGTTGGTGCAGGGGTTGTTGTTGTTGATGGAACTCTAGATGTTTCTGTAGTTGATGTAGATGTTGGTTCAGTGGTTGTTGTTGATTCAGATGTTGATTCAGTGGTTGGTGAGTGAGATGTAGATGTTGTTGTAGCTGATGTAGATGTTGGTGCAGGGGTTGTTGTTGTTGATGGAACTCTAGATGTTTCTGTAGTTGATGTAGATGTTGGTTCAGTGGTTGTTGTTGATTCAGATGTTGATTCAGTGGTTGGTGAGTGAGATGTAGATGTTGTTGTAGCTGATGTAGATGTTGGTGCAGGGGTTGTTGTTGTTGATGGAACTCTAGATGTTTCTGTAGTTGATGTAGATGTTGGTTCAGTGGTTGTTGTTGATTCAGATGTTGATTCAGTGGTTGGTGAGTGAGATGTAGATGTTGTTGTAGCTGATGTAGATGTTGGTGCAGGGGTTGTTGTTGTTGATGGAACTCTAGATGTTTCTGTAGTTGATGTAGATGTTGGTTCAGTGGTTGTTGTTGATTCAGATGTTGATTCAGTGGTTGGTGAGTGAGATGTAGATGTTGTTGTAGCTGATGTAGATGTTGGTGCAGGGGTTGTTGTTGTTGATGGAACTCTAGATGTTTCTGTAGTTGATGTAGATGTTGGTTCAGTGGTTGTTGTTGATTCAGATGTTGATTCAGTGGTTGGTGAGTGAGATGTAGATGTTGTTTTTTCAGATGTAGATTTTTCTGTAGTCAATGTACATGTTGGATCAGTGGTTGTTGTTGATTCAGATGTAGATGTTTGAGCAG